CGGCAGGGGCAGCGGCGGCAGCGGCGGCGTTGGAGGCGGCGGCGGCGGCGGCAGTAGGAGCAGGAGCGGCGGCGGCGGCATCCCCGAGACTCCTCGAGCTACCTTTCCTTCTGACAGCCACTGACGTTCTCCGCCGCTAGAAGAGACCCCGCTTCTCCGGCGCCTGCCTTCCCTCCCCCCGCCCAGCCCCAGCCCCAGCCCCGCCAGCACCGCTACCTCCGCCAGCATTGCCACCATCAGCACCACCTCCGCCACCACCACCACCGCCACCACCACCACCGCCGCCGGCGGCAGCAGCCATTTCATCTCCACAGAAACCAGACACAAAAACATGGCAGAAATGGAGAAAGAAGGGAGACCTCCGGAAAATAAAAGGAGCAGGAAGCCGGCTCACCCAGTGAAAAGGGAGATCAATGAGGAAATGAAGGTATATTTGGACTTCGGGGCTGGAGAGACTGAGCTCTTTCTTCCGTCTGCTCCCTTTGGGCCGTTGTATGGATTTGGGGGGTACAGGGGAGCGCTTGTCAGTTTCTGTAGGATGCCCAGAACGCCTCAGCTCCTCCTCCAGGTGCAAAACAGAGGCCAACTCGCGGGTTGCGTCCCCGAGATTTGCCTATCTCAGATTCGATGAGGGTGGGGGGCGGCTGGGAGACCATATACTATTTAACCTTATAAACCCCTGGTTGGTACACGCGCGTTTCAGAGGGAGGGGACCGGGGGCCCATGTGGCGTGTGGGCATGGTGAAGAGACTCCCTAGTCGGTGGAATAGTTTTTCCCTCTTCTTCGGGAACCATCCTTTGGATCTCTCCAAAGTTAGGAGCCACCGGGCCGAGGCACCTCGGGAGCGCACAATTTCCCCCTCCCCCCAGTTCATCTCCCGGCTCCTCGATGCCGCTTCTCCCCTAGTAGCCAGCTGCGAGGGTATGAAGAGGCTGTCAAGTGCCGAAGCGAGTTGCGGCCCGAGCGGCGCGGGTCGGGTACCGTTTTGACGGCCGGCTCGCCTCGCCCGCCCCTGCCCGCTCCTCTCACTCGGCGGCCTCTGCCTCCCGCTTGCCTTTGCATGCTCCACTTCCCAGTTAAGCGGACCTGGGCAAGATCCACTGAAAGATAGCTGTCTGAGGGGCGGCCTTCGCAGAGCGCCTGCCCATTGTTCCGAAAGGCCAGCCCCGAGTCCTGTCGGCGAGGCCGAGTCCTGTCGGCGAGGCCGGGCTCCCCGCCAAGCCAGCGGTGCTCCAGAGGTGGCAAGCGCAGCAGCCTGACGCTCCAGCTGTTCGCGTTGGAGTGATTGCTCAAGACCGCTCAGCTCCGGACCTCCCTTGTCCCCCCACTTATTTTTCACGGAGTTGCAGCTTTCACGCGGCGAGGGTTTTATTTTGTGTTGATTTCATGAATCCCTTTTTATTTTTTTAAATTCTTTTATTGGTATTTTTTGTCTTTCTGTAAGTTACTAACAAGTAGCAGATTTCGGGGAGGGACTTTAGTTTTCATTCTGCAGCCGTCTTGGTGTTCCCCATCTTCTGCATAGAATCCTTAACACTGACAACTGACTTGGTCAGCTTGGTTGAATTTGTATTTAAAAGACAAACGATGAAAATGGCAAGCAACTAAGTAAAATTTCTTGCAGTTTGACCTTGTCTTGATTAGAACAAGTATATTCTCAGAAGGTGCCTTGTATGAAGCCCGTATTTAGAAAGGGGCACATGGATAATACAACCTGTATGTGTACTTAGGTGCATATGCTTAGTGTTCCTTTCTTCTAGAAAATGTCTGTAGCAATCTACATCTTGGAATTAGGGTTTTTATTTTGGGGTGAGGCCATTCCTTGGGATAGAAACCACCGTTGATTCCACTGATAGTTTTTTTTTTTTTTAAAAAGAGACTGGTAGGAGTTGTTGTCTTCCCATGGGGGTGGAATTCAAACAGCCTACAATAACCATGATTCCTTACTCGCCCTTCTCTCCTGTCCTGCGTTTCCAGATTACTTTTCCATTTCATTTTAAATAGGGGGTGGAGGAAGAGGAGAGAGGTGAAGCCACTAAGAAATCACAGTGTGTGCTGGCCCTTTAAAACACTGCCTAATGTGATCTATATGGATGGCAGCTTTTAAGTTTCATAGGTTCTAGAATTACAAATTAGCTAATTTTAATCAAAACATGTGAAATGTTATCCCGGCTGGATATAAAGGCTGACTGTGCTCGATGCTTGGGGCTCACGTTGTTGACTTTGGCTGCGGGAGCACTCCGTGGTTTGGGAGATAGTTGTCCTTCTACAGTATAACAGATGTTTGTCTGAACTGGTGAGGAAGAAACAAAAACAACATTGTGTGAAGGGGAAAAATTACACAATTTTTAGCCAATGCTGCAGGACTAAGTATGGAATTAACCTTCGTGCACAGAATTTCCTCTTTTAAAAATGTTATTTTTTTCCCAAATCACCACCTACTATTTGAAATTTTAATCCTCATCATTTCAGTACAGAGTAGCATTAAATAAGAAGTTTTATGCAGCAAATAACTCAATTGCCTGAAGGATCAGTATTTTCTCCCTACTTTAGAGCAGTGTATAAGAGAGATCCCTGGTGGAAATCTTCAGTTGTGTCAATGGACACCATGCCAGAGAGACATGAAATCCCATTTCTAGCAGAATTGTTCAGTATGCATTCTTCTAATATAATAGCACCCAAAGTCCTCTTTTAAAAGGTGATTTCGTTAAAGTCAAAAGGTGGAAGGGTTATTTTGAGCGCATTAATATTTTTCTGCTTTTAATATTAATAACCATATCAATAAAACCCCTCCCCAAACCTCGTGGCATTACCACCCATCCATCTCCCCAAACCTAAAGTGTAGAGTAACATAACACGTTGATTGCCCTGTATAAAAATACGTGTAACAAAATGTCACTGAGAACACAATGTGGCCTTGTGCAGCTTCATATCGGTGCTGCTGGAGCTGCCTGGCTGTGTTTGCCTTCATCTGAACGGCTTTCATTTGGACCAGTATAAACTAAGCCCTGGTAAGTAATCACTGCCCAGCAGAAAGAAAGGAATGTATACAGCTAGCACGGCCTAAGCTGTAAAAACGGAAACCTGAGCCCCCACCGTGGATCACATATCAAGGCTTGAAGGTAGGGGAAATGAAAGGGGGAAAGAGGAGAGAGCGAATGCAAAAGTCAGCCTGGGAAGTGGAGGATCAGGAGGAGGAGGCCCCCCTTAGGGAGATTTGGCTCAGGGATTAGGGAATTTTATCGTGGTGTACAGTGACCTACTCAGGTTTCAACACTGGTTGGATCAAGTTGCTTCTCCGCGAGCTGAAAGAAAAAGGACTGGTGTGTATGTGATTTTTTTTTTCCCCTTCGGGTAATAGAGGGGACATTGGTACAAGTGTCTATTTTAAGTACAGCAAATGCAGGGCACTGAGAATGAGCAACAAAATTGTCTCATCATAGAGATTTCCTTCAAGATTTCCTCACTGAGATAGTCACATATTTATTTAAACATGGCTGGAGAAGGCAAATTGGCAGAGGTTTAGCTGACACCAGTAATGGCATTGGAGGTTGTCTTCATGTGGCTGGGAGCTAATGTTGGTTGCTGTTTCACTAGATCAGATATTGAGTTACATTTTCGTTATCACTGGTTTAATGCACATGGCAGTTGTAACAAATTTAAATTTGATACAATGTAATTTTGTGTGTGAAAAGTACATGACTTGGCATAGCTTTAGTGTCCTTTAGTGAAAATAGCTTCAAGTAGAAATGTTTGTCTCATTATGACCTTTACAATGTTTCCTTATCTTTCCTTTTCTTCTTCCTCACTTCATCCTGGTTTTTCTTAATTAAAAATACTTGGTACTTTATTGTACTTATAGTCAGTCTGCCTTATTTAATTAGTGACCAATAGAGAGCATTTTAAAAAAATCAGATTGCAATGCAATTTATAAATTTTGACTACTTTCGGTTTCTAAAGCTCACATGGATTATAATAAATGGATCTTAGGAGGGAATTCTGATATATAGAAGTGTTAATTCGTTTCAGGAGTTCATCTAGAACATTATATAAAAACTAATTTGTGATACTGGATATGTAAATACATGAATAAGTGTAAATATAGTTGCACTTAAGGGTATGTATTTTGTGCACATAGATCTTGGGGAACATGATTAATGACTACCAAACAGTAATACAACTCAAAATAATCTAAACTGTGAGTAAAGAAAATGAGTCAGATTTTCATCTTTTAAAACTCTTTGACAAAACCAATGTGATTAGATCAAGCACTCTGCCTTGGACACCTTCCTAAACAAACCATAATTAATGCACTTACAATGTTTGGCTTCCTTATCAATTGTTCAGCTCCAGGATAATCTGTGTTAAATGTCTCAGGGTCTCCTCTGCTGAAGAAGTTTTCTGTCTGTAAATGTTCTCAGTAAGTAATTTGTATCTAAAATTATGCTTCAGTCCTGGTGCCTGCAGTTAGAATCAGGCACATCTGTTAGAGTTTAGTAGTAAACTCACCATAAGATTTTCTAGTTTGGTTTCTGATGGTCTCCATTTGGCATTAAAAATGACCTGTGTTATTTGCATAGACAATAAAGCATATTGCAGAGCTGTGCTGGTGAGTGCAGTGATTTAATTAGCTTGCCATAAAAATTAAAAAAAATAAACAACTAGAGATATCACAGTGTGGGTTGGAGAAGTCAGCATATTTAAGGTTGAAATCAGCTCATTACTAAAACAGGTATACTTCAAGTTTTTCTCCTGAAACTCCATCCTGATGTCAGAAACAGTAAGTCTCAGGAACCTAGAAAGTGAATTTGGGACCAGATCTCACTGTGACATTCACAAATGATGTCAGACTCCCGGGCTGAGCAGTGGTGCAACGTGTGCCATGTGTCAGGGCTGGGACCTGGCCCTTGCCCCTTGGAAGCTGGTATAGGATGTTCCTGAGCCTGCCAGCCCTGTCCTCCACGTTGCTGTCAGTTGTCCAGTGCAAGGCTCTAGTCTAAACCCATAAGAGAAGGTCCTGGGAGGGCACAGAGAGCTATGAATTCTGCTCTGTTCAAACTGGAGGTTTTCTGAAAAGAGTCTCTTTCTCCATCTGTGAACCTGTGAGTATGATGTGTGGCAGAGCGAGATTCTCTAAGCCTTATACAACTCGCAGGTTCCAGAGAGGAGGAAATGGAAAGGAACCACTCCACTTCCTCCCGAATCTGAAATAAACATTTGAACTAGAAGAAAATGAGTCTGACAGACTCATTCCCTTCTGCGTTTCCTGCCTCTGTGCTTGCCAAGCACTGCTCTGAGAAGCCAAGCCCTACTCTCCTTGTGTGAAAGACAGACTCATAGAAACCAAGAGGTAACAGAGTTTTTAAAGGAAAGTCAAAAACAGGGCCTCAAAAAAGGCAAATATCAGTGAATGCAAGTGACTGTCT